CACTCCTGGAATTTTACTCTCATTGCATTACCAACCCTATTTTAGCTTTATTGACCCTTAATTTGGGATTGGGTGGTTGAGCCTCCCATCTCGGCCTTGCCCATCTCTCAGATCAGAAGGCAAAATGTGTTCCTGCCCTTGTCTCTCTCTCTCTCTCTCTCTCTCTCTTCCCCGTGGTCTCCTGACTTTGTAACTCCTGGTTTTGGCCCTGGTTTGTGGTTCTTTGCCCCGTTAATTACAGAACTGGGAGCTACTTGGAATGTGGGTTTCCATCCGATGGCCTCGGGACACGCATTTGCTCTCCTGGTAGTTGAGTGTTGTCAGGAGCCGGGAAGGGAAACTGGAGGCAGTGGGAGCTCTGAGAGCAGGGGCAGAACCTGTGGCTTTACCTTCATCCACTGAAATATCCTTAGTTTTCGTTTCCAGGGGCACCTTCTTTCCCCGTTTATTTTGACTGCCCTCCTTGCTCTAATATGTGCTGCACCTGCAAAGGCAGGTGTTTTCCAGGAATGTGGGGGTTTGGGGTGAATCCTGTTTCCCATGGCCATCCTGCAGGACTTTGGGACCATCCCTGGTGCCTCTGTGGGAACGGGGAAGTTCTGGCAGCTGCTTGAACATATGGGGAGAGATGGGCTCTAAAATCATCAGCTGTCTGCCTGCTTCAGTTCTTACTCAAAATTAAAGCTTTTCCAAACTGTCTGAGAGTATAAGAGATTTTTTTTTTAAGGGGTTTAACTAATTTTGGTTTTAAAGACAAAATTACCACAACTTCTTTTTGGACTTGAGTTACGTTTCATTGCTACAGGCAGTCAGCAGTCCCCTAAAAAGCACTTTATGTTGGAGTGATAATAACCAGCTACATAACTTGAGTTACAATTTACAAAAAGAAGCCTTTTTTTTTTGCCCCCCAGTTGTTTTCAGAAGTTTAAACTGTCCCAGAGGGTACAAAAAGCACTTTAAACCTTTGGTGCATGTTGGTATAAAAGGCAGTTGTCATGAGAGAAAAGCAGCAATAGCACATGGAGTTACTGGATTACAGGTGGTTTTAAACAGATATTGTTGTCAGAGGGATTGTTGGCTTTTTATTTTTAAAATGTGAATTTCTGGTGCTGTTGGAAGGCAAACACATTCTCCTGCTCCAGTGAGTCCCATCTCTGGCTTTCAGAGGGAAAGGAACCTGTGAGGAGAGCTGCTGGGTTGTTCTGTGACAGGTTATTCTGTGACAGGACAGTCTGTGTTGGTCCCTGGCTCTCTGGCCATCACCTGTGGCACAGGAGGGGCCATCCTGGCCCTGGGAATAACCAAGGGCACTGTCAGGAGTGAGGGGACACAGCAGGCAAGGATTTCACCTTCCTCTTGGACTGGATGGGTATAAATAGCTGGGTTTGTCCAGAAGAATCCCCTGGAAGGCACTGGATGCAGAGAGCTCCCGGGGAGCTCCTGACTCACACGGGAGCAGCTGGGATAATATTTTAGGAGGATTCCCAACCTGACTGCTGTTGGGACTCGCAGCCTAAGGCAGGAGGAACCTTTGCTCCCAGTCAAACGTGGGCTGGTTATGCAGATTTTAGCAATTCCGCGTCCATTTGCATGTGAATAGCGAAGCGAGGGAATTGCCCCGGCGCCTCCGAATTCCACGAGGTGCTTCCAGGCTTCCAGTCAGGTCGGGTGTCAGCTGGAGCCGGCTGAGGAGAAACACTATCTCTGCTTCCCAAGTTTTCCTCCCACTGGAGAATGCCTGCAGGGTGTCATCATGTCTGTCCTCTGCTGCCTTCCCACAAAAGCCGTGTCCTGCTCCGGCTGCTCTCCCTGCCTCTGCTCCCAACGCTCCCGTGGAATATTCCTCCTGACAAGGCCAGGTCCTCTGGGATTTCTGCCTGTCCAAAACACTCCCAGCAGGAGCTGCTCGGGAAGTTATTTTATTTGTCACCTCCTGTAACACAAGCAGGAACTTTGTTCCTGACAAGTGTCTCCATCTCTAAACATTTTCAGGTGATCCAGGGGCCTCCAGCAGTGACTGCTCAGGGAATGTGATGTGGGGAAATACTGTCAGCTTTTATCACACTTTTTATTCTCTTTTTGAGAAAACTTCTGAGTGTGGTAACTGCCTTCCACAGCAGGGGAAATAAGACAAGGAACATGGGAAGGGATTGTGGGAGGCCATGGAGTTACTGGTAATAGTCTGGGATTTCAGACACTCAGCTGAGTTGGTTTTAGTGTCTCTTGGAGCTGAAGCAATGAAAAGAACCAAAAGAAAAATACCTTCTAAATATGAAATGACACCGTGTTTTTATGGACAAAAACAGCAGCAGGAATGAAGTCCTGAGTTGATCAGGGGGGGAAAATCTCAGTTAATATTGCTAAAGGGGTGTGGGGGAAACATCTGGGATCTGGCAGTGGAAAATCAACCCTTAGCATTTTCTTTCTGGAAGAGCAAGGGATGAGAAGAACAGGAATCTCGGGATGTGACACCAGGGGAATAAGGATGAAACCCAGGTATTAAAACTGTGTGTGGCATCAGAGGAATCTTTAATGAGCACCACGGTGGCACGTGTCAAAACTAGCATGTTAAAATACTTCCTAGTTAATTTTTCGAGGGGAAGAACAATTGCAGGAGGGATTTGAGATCTGCAGAACCTGCATGATTTGCTTTGCAGGGAGATGGTCAGGACGTGTCTTGCTCCTCACTTGTGAGATTTGGTGCCTGGGTGGTTTTCAACCCAGCAAAAGTTTTGTTATCCTGAGGTCCCCCGGATGCAGGATAATTCAGAACAAGCCTTGGAACTTCACACAGTGAAGGTGAAGACACTGATAAGTACCCTACAGCACACGGTTAAATGTGAGAGTTTTAGGCCCTGAAAGCCCTAAATCATCAAGAGTTTTCAGGGTAAATTCGTGCAGGCTTTTTTTAGCTGCCTCTGAACCGTGGCTGTCATCAGTTGGCTGCTCATTTGCTTTGACATCCACGAGATTTCTAAGGCACAACCTGCAGGAGGAGTGGAACAGATCCTGCAGGAGGAGTGGAAGGGATCGTGCAGGAGGAGTGGAACAGATCCTGCAGGAGGAGTGGAAGGGATCGTGC